AATGCTCAAAGACCTGGCTCCCAGGGGGCTCCCAGGGGGTTGGTGTATAGGGGAAAGGTCATGAATCACGGAGGAAGGGAGTTAGGGTCAGGGTCTTGGTCTCTACTGATTGGTCGGTGCTATGGGGGGGGGTGTCATTAGTCAATGTGTCTTGTCCTGGTGTCAACCTTGGAATCTCTGTCTAGTTTTGCTACTTTTTTGGGCCTGGAGCTGAAACAACCAAGGCTTCGATGTCATCTCTAGGTTGACTGTCACTGTCTCTGGAGCCAACAGACCCTGGGACTTTGTTCCTATGGTTATTTGGTGCTGATCAGGACCTCATTGTCCTGAGAAGGCTTAATGACTGAGGGAGTGGTCCTGCAAGGGAGGAGGGGCCAGGTGAGTCAGGGTGCTGGGTGAGGCCAGGATGAATCCCAAGGTAAGAAAGGAGAAAAGGTCATATCAAGAAATGAAGTTTCTACAGTGACAGAGTTATTTCATGCTTACGTTGCTTATTCCCAATAGTGAGAACCTAAATATGGACTGTTTATTGCTATACATCTTGTCTGAAATTAGGATATAAATGCGAACGAGGAGATAAGGCAACCCAAGCAGCTGGTACGGAAGCAGCGAGAGTGTCAGCCATGTAGTGTCCATGGAGCGTGCACGTATTTTATCCGGGCAGCATGAAGCGGTCAGAATTCAGAAGCCAGGGAGACCCTGAACCTGGCAGAAACCCGCACATCCAGGCTCAGCAATCACTCGGCCACAGCGAGGACAGACGGGGTTACAGACGGGCAGCGGGACATACTTGCCAGTTCCTAAGTCACAGGGTCAGTCCTTCACACCCCCCTGACATCCTCCTCAGATCAGCTCCCTTCAAACATGTACTTTTTATCTCCAGGATTTGTACACATGGCTTTCCTGGCTGCATTTCAGTTCTTAGGAAACTGCATCACAAAAAAGCGACCAAAATCTCTGTGTCCCTGTATTTTCATTTGGGCAACATTTAAGATAAACAAAATAATAATAATAATAATAATAATAACCATTGTCGTCGTCGTCATCATCATCATCATCATTATTATTGTCACCCCAAATTGATATAAGTAGTTCTTAATGTGTGAAATTAGCAGTTATTATTCAAAGGAAGTAAACCTAGGAGCAGAGAGCTTGCTCACATTTCATTGTTTATTACCTTGTGGGTAGGCAGCGTTTAAAAAACAAAGTAGGTATTATTTGTTTCAGAGACTCAGGAAGCTCTTGGATTTAGTGAATCCCACATCCCTTTAAATATTGTTGGATGAGCTTCAGATGTAGACTGAAATTTCTCCGTCAAGACCCACAATGCACAGCAGTTCAGCCCAGTGAGGACCTTCCCAGGGCCTCTGGACCGGCTGCCTTGTTACTTGCTAAGCTGTCTCCATCCGTCAGGGTCGCAGAGGTACATCTCAGCGGTACCACATGAGTGCGATGCTCAGATAAAGCAGAGTTTTGAGAAACCTTTGAGAGAAATCAATCTGAACCAGAATTTTTATTTCAGCTGTCTGAGAGCAAAGCGAGGTGAGATGATCAATTTGTAATACTTGTTTAATTTTTTCTTCCACTTTTCTAAGAAGACTTAACAAAATATAAAAGAAAACCCCAAATACTTTTTTTCTTTTTCAGCAGGCACTGAATACCCATACTCTTTTTTTTTTTTGTATCCTCACTCGAGGACATTTTTCCATTTTTTGTTCAGATAGAGCAGGAGGGAGAGAGAGGAAGAGAGAGAGAGAGAAACATCGACGTGAAGGGACACATCGAGTGGCTGCCACCCGCACGACCAACCAGGGCCGGGGACAAACTGCAACCGAGGTACGTGCCCTTAGTGGGAACCGAACCCGGGTCTCTCTGGACCGCAGGCCGACGCTCCAACCGCTGAGCCAAACCGGCCAGGGCTGAATACCCATACTCTTTATGAAAGTATCAAACCTCTTTCCTCTTCTCAAATATGTAGATAAAGGTTCCAAAAATAAGAATGCCTCTTTCTCTTTCTTCTTCCTCTCTCCCTCTCCCTCTATCCCTCCTTCCCTCCTTTCTCCTTCCCTCCCTCCCTCCCTTCTTCCTCCCTCCCTTCTTCCTCCCTCCCTTCTTCCTTCCTTCCTTCCTTCCTTCCTTCCTTCCTTCCTTCCTTCCTTCCTTCCTTCCTTCCTCCTCCCTCCCTCCCTCCCTCCCTCCCTCCCTCCCTCCCTTCTTCCTCCCTTCTTCCTTCCTTTCTTCCTTCCTTCCTTCCTTCCTTCCTTCCTTCCTTCCTTCCTTCCTTCCTTCCTTCCTTCCTCCCTCCCTCCCTCCCTCCCTCTCTCCCTCCCTTCTTCCTCCCTTCTTCCTTCCTTCCTTCCTTCCTTCCTTCCTTCCTTCCTTCCTTCCTTCCTCCCTTCCTCCCTTCCTTCCTCCCTTCCTCCCTTCCTCCCTTCCTTCCTCCCTTCCTCCCTTCCTTCCTTTCCTCTTTCTCTTCCTTCTCTTTCTCCCTTCCTCTCTCTGCGGCCGCTCTCTTCTACTGTGGAGTACTTTCAGGAATAAAGAGTGTTTTGGGTCTTAAAGTGCTGTTTAAAAGAAAATAGTGCTCTTTTGTTGGTAGTGGGAACATGAGTTCGATTTTTTTCAGGCCAAGGCTGAGTCTCCTTAACTGAAAAAAAACAATCCTCGTTGTATGACGACTTATTAATCAGAGTCATTTGCACAGAAATGAGAAGGAATCCCTGGATGAGGAAGATGAGAGCAGATTGCATTGTATTATTTTTGATATATAAGTACTTCATATTGGGGAGAGAAAAATAATTTTATTTTTTACCCTTTTTCAGATAAAATAATGCTCTGTGCCATTAACAAAGTTCCTGTCTCTTTCTTTATGTTTTTAGCTTCAAACGTAGATAAAAAAAATTTTCTTAACCTCCCATGTAGCTTATTCAGGGCCCAGACTTTCTGATCCTTCTTCCCCAGAAGCCTGTCTTCATTAGTAAACTCCTAGCTCCCTTTCTGTGGGATCTGCGGGGCCTTATTTTTTTCATCTTCCAATTAAAAAAAGAAAAGAAAATTTCTTTAATATTTTTGCTTAAAAATGCTACATATTCATTATACAAATTATTAAAATAATGCAGAAAAATAAGTGAGAAAAATGGAAAGTTATTTAGTGTCCTCTCATCTATAGATACCTCTGTTAATGTTTTGGTAAATAGTTTTTTAGATCCTTTCATTTCCTTTCTGTCTTTGTGTGTGGTTGTCTGTCTATCCTTCTCTGTCCCTTGCTGTGTTGGTCAGTATTATATCATGAACACCCTTTCATGTAATAAATATTTAACTGCATTATGATTTTAAATGCTTGCATAAACAAATCATTAAAAAGATGTACCTTAGCCCGGCCGGTGTGGCTTAGTGGATTGAGTGTTGTCCCATGGACTCAGAGGTCCTGGTTTGATTCCCGGTCAGGGCACATGCCCAGGTTTTGGCTCGATCCCCAGTGGGGGGCGTGCAGGAGGCAGCTGATCATTGTTTCTCACATCGATGTTTTTACCTCTCTCTCCCTTTTTCTCTCTCTAAAAAAATCAATAAAAACATTTATATATATATTTAAAAAAAGATGTACCTTAATCAACCTTCCTTTAGCAGGTCTAGGTTAATCAATCAATAACAAATGTACTGATCATTAAATTCTGAAATGAGTTAGTGATTATGTCAAACAGTGGCAAATATGAAGAAAACTCATTGCTCCACATAAGGAAAACTTCCTATTGGAATTTGAATTAGAAGAATCTTGTGTTTTATCCCTGGACAAGTATCTTCATACATTTTTGTTATTTGTTTAGGGGGAATATCCCTTTTTAAAAATAAAGCTTATAGATACTAGCTGCAAATGTCAGATATGGAGTTGCTTTCTGGAGGAGGCGGGGGTGTAACGCTGAGCATAGGGTTTTATAAAGTGCACACAGTTGAAGTCCACGGTCTAGAATAACCTCAGTCATTCCAGCAGCGTATAGGAGGCAGCGTCTTAAAGTATCACTATTCATTTCACGTCGTTTTTGGCCGATGGTAGTATTTTTTTGTCTTGGTTTTTGTTTTTTAAACTGAGTATCCAGCTCATTCATTCACTCACTCAACAAAGCCGTGACGATTATCTCCCTGGGCCAGGCATGAGCTGGGTGCTCGCGATGCAGAGACGAATACGGCTTGTTTTATCCTCCAGGCTCTCGTGGTCCACAGTGTGGGGGGAGCGGACAGTCGAGTGATGCCCGGGAAACTGCAGACAGCATCCTTCAGAAAGGGAAGCTCTGCTGGCTTCCAACCCGTGTTCATCCGAGCCTGGGCACTCTTTTGGACTCATCACTTACAATGTTTTTTTTCCAAGTCCCCAAACATGTGTTGGAAGCCTCTTCATTTCGGGTAGATTGAAAGTCACTCTTTGACGTGCTAATTGGAAAGTGGAGAGGAACACCAAAGTGCTGGCCAAGGCTAGTCTTCCTTGACTAAGGCTAGTGAATGAAGAAGACGGTCCTAGCCAAGTCCGAGGCATCTTACTGCTTCCCGAGTGCGGTTGCCCTGGGAGAGAGAGGATACCGCTCAGACGTGGAGGGGGGACCAGGTGCTGCCTCATCATGCTGCGGACTCATCTCCAGCAATCTGATGACGAGCTGTGATGACTTCAGGATTCACTTAGAAGATACTTGTCTATGGTCATTAAGGCGCTGTAATATACACTCACTCATGTTAGAAAGAACAAGAGATGACGTCTTACCGTCTGGAGGTTTTATCGAAAAGCTTCTCAGACTTGAATGTGCATAAAAATCACCGCGAGATTTTGTGGAGATGCAGATTTGTGTTCCTTAGGTCTGGGGCGATGCCCGAGTTTCTGCATTTCCAAAATGCTTCCAGGCCCTGCCAGCACCTCTGGCTCATGGAGTAACTGGGGCCTACGCTGTCTTCATGCCAGTGAGGATTCTCCTTTTGTAACTTCATCCGTTCTGTCCGTCTGTCTGTTTTTGCAGCTGTGGTGATGGTCCTGAACAGCCTCAGTGTCAGCTGGAGCGCCCGGATCCAGATTTTCCTAACCTTCTGCAAGCTCATAGCAATTCTGATAATTATAGTCCCTGGAGTCATGCAGCTAATTAAAGGTATGGACTGAAAAATAAATGCCTTTTAAAGTACGTATCTGCTTTTGGTCTCTTCGAACACTAACTTTCGCTTGTCCTAGCAGAATCCCTTAATTAGTCTGCTTACGGATGTTAGGCTCAGTACTGTCGTCTAATTGATGTGAAGGCTGCTACGCTGAGGATGAGTTGGTATTTAGAGCTAAATGGCAACAAGAGCATTAAGATTGGACCAAGCAACAAAATAAGGCATCAGTGAATTCTCCCTCGGTATAAATGATTTGAAGTGAAAACTCCAAGTGAAAGAAAAATCTGTTGCTAAACTACAGATAATATGTCCTATTAATTTTTACTTTAAAATAGTTCAATGATTGTAATAAAGGTTAAAGATGTCTGGAAAATAATGAAAGATGACCCATAATTGTTTTCCTTTATGGTTACTATTTCTTTTACCTTAAAAATGGAATCTTGTTAGGAAGGGAGTCAGATATGGGAGCCGCATTCCTAAAAAGCAACTATTACCTGACGAAAGTCATGATGAAAACCTATTTTTTATTGGTACATTATTTTTAATGTACAGAAATGTAACACCATTTTCTGGATATACTTGCCAAGGGCCATTTGGATATTTATGACATCATTCGAGGACCATACAAAATGATCAACTTAAAAAAGTAGCCTGCTGTATTTGGTCAGGCTAGTTTGGTGAGGTGTGTGATGTGAGCTGGTATTGATGTCGCGGGTCTTACGTGGCCCATGGGTTGGACTTTCCCTTCCTCTGCTAGAGTGGACTGTTTAGTAAGAAACATGACATGGTTGAGGGGGTGACGTCAATTAGAGTTTCAGTTGTTTTAGGTTTAGTGGAAACTGTTGGAAAAGAAGCTGGTCCAGGTGAGTTATTTAATTGGCAATGGGCATGATAGTAGGAAATAAATAGGAAAGTGAGATGTGATTGTAAAGCAGTTGACCTATAACGTGAGCATGTTAAATATTAAATGTTTTCATGGACAGTGTCTGTTCCAAGAAAGGGAATTTATTGAGACATTTAATAAAGTTTCAGAAGAATTACCCAAGGCCAAAGTCAATGCCAAAATTCAGCAAAATGGTAAAGGCATTCAACAATAACACACGACACAAGATCCATCTCTCTGCAGTTGGGGAAAGGGGTTTCTGTTGTCCATTTAATAAGCCCAGTGGGAATTCTTAGTGTTCCCCTGGCTAAATGTTGGCATTCGATCCAGCAACCTTGGCCAACTCAGAACAAACACAATAAAGAGAAGACGTGAGTTGGCTCTCCTCATTCACGTTGGCCTCCAGAGAGCTGGCCTGCTCATATTTTATCTGATCCATGGGAAATGAAGGAAAAATCATCTGTTTTGTTAATGCTTTTTCTTTCTGGGCTGACTAGTTTTCAGTAAGGCGTTTCTTCCATTTTTGAAGTGCAGAAACTCGGAGTCATTGACCCTACTTTAGTTCTAGTTCAGGTTCCGAAAGATGAAATATATCATCCTTGAAAACTATGTGTGTTTTTTTCTCTCTTTATCTTTTTTGGTGTAATGTATGACCATAGTTAGCTTTTACCCCTTGCTTATATGTGTGTGTGAGATGAGAGGAGGTTGCCCTAAGGTTTCTGTATTGCAAATTCCTTGAGAGCAAAACTCATGAGATAGCTTTTGGATCTTTTTCAGCACTTTACACTAGAATGATCCTTTAATTAAATCTTATTACATCAGTGCTTAATGTGGCCAGGCTTCCTCATAGATCTATTGTGAGCAATTCCCTGAGTATTAGCACATTTAAATTTTAACATTTTAGAGAGTATTTTTATCAGGAGTATTTTCTCGATTACTACAAAATGGTGATTTTCTTTTTCTTTAACTCCATCACATATTTTTCACATTAATTTAAAACTCCAGAGAGAGAAACAATTTACTTACTAATATAGATTGTGTATTTATTTCTACTCTAATCAGATCCTGAAAATAGTTCTGGGGTATTTACTTATGAGGACTTGTTACACTTTCCTTTGAATGTCATGACTTTCAGCTTCCCGAGACTTCTGTTTCGCAGCCGGAATCTCCCTGGTGTTCAGCCTCCTCTCTCCTGCAATACTCTCAGAGGGGCATTTTCAGGATCTATGCTTGGGACCTGATCTTTATTAAGTTTGGTTTCTCTTTCTGATTATTCAGTGCTGCTCTGTTAGGATATTGTCTCTTTAGGCCACGGAGACCAAAGATCACGATAAAAAAAAAAATACAACAAATGTTTTATCAGTACCAGCATTTATAGATCCCTTTTATAAGGACACAGAGATGTTTTAGTAAAACAGGCATTTCTGAATTCACTGTATCATGTTAAAAAATGATCTGCATTCGGGAATTGGATGCTTTGAGGGGAAAATCATTTAGTGTATAATTCAACGTTCTCCACTTTTGGTCTCAAAATTCACACACATTACATTGATATATATGTTGTTGCTGGGCAACCAGGCAGCAGGTGAGACATGAGTGAAGACAGAGGGTCTCATACATCAGCCACCTCCTTTAATTTACTTATGTGAAGACCAATTTTGAACAATGTCACACTTTCTCTTTGGCTAATCTTATTTGCTGTTTGCTTTGGGAAAGAGACTCTTTATGCTTAACTTTGAATATTGGCTGACTAAATCTGAATTTTTGTTTTCTGGTAATTATCCAAAAGATATACCAGAAAAGGGCCCATTATGATTCACAAAGTAGAGAAAAATATTATCAACAAAAGTGTTCAGCCCAGCCCTGGCCAGTGTGGCTCAGCTGGTTGGGCATTGTCCGGAGTACACTGAAAAATTTCTGGTTCCATTCCTGGCCAGGGCACATGCCTGGGTTGTAGTCTCGATCCTCCGGAAGGGGCATGCAGGAGGCAGCTGATAGATGTTCCCTCTCACACTGACATCTCTCTGTCTCTCCCTTTCCCTTCTTCTCTCTCTAAAAATCAATAAACATTACTTTTAAAAAGTGTTCAATCTTCATGTTGATGCAAAATTTGTTAAAATGTATCTATTTTAGAGTTTAGTACAATTTCTTTTCTGTGTTTTTAGAAGGAATCCATGCCATTCTCTAGAACAGCATTAGCAGACTCTACCCCGGGCCAGTCAGTAAATCCTTGTAGCTTTACGTGCCATGTGGGGTCTGTTCCAACTACCCTACCTTGCTGTTTTTGGGTGACATCAGCCATAGACAGATAGTGTCAATCATAATACCTAAACTGGTGGGCCTGGCTGTGCTCCAATAAAACTTTATTTACCCAAGAAGCTGGGGGCGGAGCAGATTTAGTTGCAAAGTTTTCCAACCCCTGTTGGTGTCCAATGAGCTACTAGGAAAGCAGAATGTTACATGATGTGAGAAGGTGGTTCTGAACCTTCCTGCCACTTCCTCCTTGAGAATAGACCCATGGGTATTTCTTCTCCAGCATTCTGCTATCTTTATTTGAAATAATTCTAGCAAACTCCTATACACTGTAGATTAGCGAAGATCCTTTAGTCTTCATTCATGGTCAAACTCTATCAAGAGTAGAGGCATGCTCAAACCAGGCTTTTTAAAAAAAATGCTGTAACCTCTTTGCTATATTTTTATCAAAAGAGAAGTTTGAAGTAGTGTTAGTGGTGATCAATATACTTTCGGGACTTCATCTCTAGAAGGGGTACCATATTAATAGGTCACATTGGCAATGAGCAAAGGGTAAGAAACCTAGACCTGAAACAGTATAGTTTATGTCCAACTTCCCCTTGTCCCCTTCGCATGTTTATGGTTAAAGGATGCATAATAGCCAATTATTAGAAAAGTATTCATATCTTTCTTTTCTCATTGCAGGGCAAACACAACACTTTAAAGATGCCTTTTCAGGAAGAGATGCGAGTATCATGGGCTTGCCGCTGGCTTTTTATTATGGAATGTATGCATATTCGGGCTGGTAAGTTGATATCTTTTTTTTTCTTTTTATTGATTTTAGAGAGAGAGAGAGATAGAAACATCCACGAGAGAGAACATCGATTGGTTGCCTCCTGCATGCCCCCCAGTGGGGATCAGGCCCACAACCTGGGCATGTGTCCTGGCCGGGAATCAAACTGGTGACCTCCTGGTGCAGGGGTCGACGCTCAACCACTGAGCCACACTGGCCAGACATTGAGTTGATATCTTAACATGGTGGTCAGTGTGGTTCATGACCAACTTCGACTCCTTTGATTGCCAAGCAAAGTGCTCTGCTAATGTGAACAGCCATAATCAGTGTGATTTACCAGGTGACAAAGGTGGTGTGGCTTCCACCAGGTCAAGTACTGTGTATGTGACAGCGTAGCTGAGGTTTCCGGTCAAAGTGACCACTAGATTTAGCCTGATGTCATACAAAACAAACAAATGCTGGGTCTTGAGAACAGTACACACACCTGTACGTGAGGCTCGGTCAGGACATAGTGCCACCGGATATTAACAATCGCTGTTTCACTTGTCAAAAGGCCTTTCCACTGAAGCGTCAAGGGTGTTCACAAAGAGTGATTGATTTTCCTCCACCTTCCCATGAGAAAGAAACAATTCGGACCCAAAAATAAGTAAGATGTTCCCAGAGGTACAAGGGCACTCAAAAAGTAGGGATGAAATAATTTGTGCCAGATAATCTGTTATATTTTCAGGGACCTTACAGGTCCCTGAAAAATGTTCTCAATATTTGAAAACAAAATATGCCGCAAAGCTCATGGGTATCACGATGCAGTGGGCGTACATTTCTTTGAGGCATGGTCCAACTGTGGGACCATTCTGGTTGAAGCATTAGAACTTTGTATTTATGCCTGGCTTTGCTCAGGAACTTGAATAATAATAATTGTGGATAAGAGTGGGATGTTTTCCTAATTAAATGCTATTGATGTGGTACAGTGGTTTTCAACCTTTTTCATCTCATGACATGCATAAACTAATTACTAAAATTTTGCAGCATACCAAGAAATATATTTTTTGTCAATCTGACCAAAAATAGGTATACTTTTGATTAATTCACACCAGACGGCTATTATTGTATTGGCTATCGTGATTTTTTAATTTTATTTGACAATGTAAGGGAAAAAAGATCAGTGCCCCTGACTAAATAGTCAAGTAATTCATGTTTTTAAAATTCTTGTGTCACACTGGTTGAAAATCACTGATCTAGTAAGATATAGTTGAAGTGCCTTTAGCTAGAAAGCCCACTGGGTAAAAAAGTATTATTTAAACATCAAAATCGTTGTAGTCAAATTAAATTTTACTGTTTGGAGGTGATTAGTAGCAATACTTTTTATTATTATTATTATTTTATTTATAGAGCTAATAGTTGTATAGTTTTAGCTGTGAGAAGGTTCTATGAGTCTAAAAATAGTATCAGGAAACCACACTAGTTTAAAAATTATGTAAATGCATTTTAAACACAAATACATTTTCTTATTGTTTCTTTAGTTTTTAGGATCTTATTTCCCAGCTAATGCATGGCATATAAAAATATCTTTCAAAATAAATGGAGTGTTTACCCTATTATTCTCATTGAGTTATGAAAATATAGTAGCAGAGGAGAATTAGGAGAGTACAGGAACTTAACTTAAAAATTTAGCAGCTTTTGAAGAAAAATATGTTTGAAGGTTGTTAGAAGATTGTAGTTCTAAGGAGTCTGGCATAAAATATTTGTATATTATTGAAATATCTTTATAGCCATTGCATGTGAGCATTAGTCTGGAATCTCTCAATATTTTGAAGTCTTTTTAATTTTTGTCGAAAGCACAATGTGGTGCTGGGCAGAGAAAAGAACAGAGTTGTGATCACAGGGTTAGCAGCAGAATCAGCCACTCTGCGGCTATTCAGCCTGGATCAGAACCCTGGGGCCTGGGGCATCCGCCAAGCAACTGGGAAGGTCACCAGGACACACCAGGGTGAAGTGGGGAGGTGACAAAGGCTTTCAGCCAGAGCCAAGAGTTGGGAGCCCGGCGATATTCAATCAAGAACGTGGACTGTGGAGATAGTCACAAGGGACATTAAATTAATTTTGTTGAATGAAGTTTCTCTTGCTCGTGAGGACCACGCATCTGTTCCTACGGAGTGTTAAAATACCCCTCACCTGCCTCTCCCCCGCCACCAGCACTGGCGATGCAGGCCACTTGCTTTTTCTTTATGAGTACTCCTTTGAATTGCCTCATCCCTCTCATGTTTAGTTGTATTGATATTGAACCCAAAATGTTACTCTTGTTAAAATGATTTAAAAAGACAACGTAGGGGATACAAACAAGCGAGATTTAACACTTCAGGGAGTGGGCAGCCCCCACTCTCAAGGGTGCGCAGAACTCACCGTGGGGTGGCAAACAGAAAGCAGAAAGCTGTTATTGGATAAAGAATAAGGAACAAGGAAGAGAATAGCAGAAATATATGAGGAACAAGGAAATAAGTACAGAGCCCAGAGCTGCTCGGTCTTCGGGAATTAAGCAGCTCCATGTGGGACCTTATCTCAACACTGTTTGGTACATGGGGTTTACCTGAACCTTTATTTATGCTTTTATCCATATAATCTTCATGTCCACTCCTCATTTTAAAGAACAGGAAACTGTTGATTTTCTTACATTCTTGAGGATTCAATCATAGTGCTGGAAATTAAGGCCAGGATTTTTAAATGAAATGTCATCTGATACAAGTGGCTTATGTAGGGGACAGATAAGGAACTGTACTCCCCGAACAGGTTGTTAGGCTGCCTGAATGCTGCTTTGTGGACAGGTGGAAGTAGTCTGGGTGTTAAGCTGTGGCCATCAGTCTTAGAAAAATGAAGCTGTGTTTAGAAGAAATAGTCTGTCGGCTTGGAGTTCCAGAGGAAAAGTTAATATCTGGATATAAAAGGAACAAGAAGGAGACTAAAAGTGTTCCCAGGGAGAGGGTCTTTCTCCACTTTCAAAGGGGGCCCTGCCTCTCTGACCTCTCTCTGACTTGAGTGATGTATTGACGAGACTGGGTTGCAGAATTATCAGTGGGCACCCGATGGGCCTTCACTCCCTCTGCTCCTGCTGTGACAGTGTTGGACGAGGAAAGCATGGGGCAGTGCACAGAGGTAGGACAGAGGCAGCGGCTGGCATCAGAACTTGGCCGCCTGGGGTCATAGAAGCAGCAGGACCGTGGTTGTCCTGGAGGTGCCAGTCCTCGGGTGGGAATACCCTCGGCTCTCGGCTGTGAGGAGCGCAGAACCTTTTTAGAATGATAAAAGCTCCTTCACAGAAACATGATTGGGGGAAAGAAATCATTAACCCAGCCAGGTCACAGAGTTGAGTCGGAACAAATTTCATATTCTCGCCAATGTCTGTATGCAGAGAAATACGCCTGCCTGTTTCCCTCGTGGCCCGGGGAGCTCAGCCGTTTCAGCCCCAGACCTGATCCAAGGCTAAATATTGGTTGGTGCGATTTTTTTTTTTTTAAACTGTGTGATAGAAAATAGGTTTTTGGTGTCTTTTTTCTTCCTTTTAAATCCAATCCTCAGTGGATTTGGTCTTTCTAAAGCACCTGCTGGGATTATTTTGTACCATTGTGTCAGACCTAATCCAAAGAATAAGCTTCTTTTTAAAATAATTCACATAGTCAGTGCAGGAATGCATTGTCAGCATGGCCAGGCCTGTTCTCCACGTCCCCGGAGAAGCTGGGACAATGGGTCGTGTGAACATTCTCTGGGGCCCCAGGAGACGAAAAGCAAAGAGGATGCCCTGGACGCACGGAAGAGGGGAGCGAGCACAAAGGTGGATTTCCCACCGGATGCGAGGATGCGAATGTGGGGACCAAAATAATCAGCTTTCTCCTTCCCACCTTCATCCCGCCCCAAGGCCTTTCCTGGAGTGAGTGCGAATATTTGGAATGGTGTTCTTGTTCATAAATATTTCCTTTCATGCTTTAACGTGGTTGGAAAAGGCGTTTCTAAAACAAGTGTTAAGAAGGAACTGGTTATTTTTGATGTGAGAACCCTGGAAATGTTTCTTAGTTTGTGTGCATTTTTTGTTTTTGTTTTTTGCATTTTCCTCCTGTACTTCCCACTGCCTCGGGCTTATAACCAACACATCACCCCCCTCGGAGCGCATATTCCAGATATAAGAATTGATTGCTGCTTGCCTTCTCGGTGTAACTACGACCTCTATTTTAAGTAAAGTGTACTCTAGTCATTAAAAAATATTTTCGGCTGCTAACTCTTTAGATCAACATTATCGTTGCTGTTTTCTCAGCGATTTACATGTTTCTACTTAAATCGAATCTTTAAAATATTAGACACCTTAACCTTGTTAAAAGATAAATGGATAAAATTAGCAATGTAAAGTGTTTATTTGAGCAAAAATTTGATTCCCGTGGGGCAGCTTCCCACGTGGGAGACAGAAAGGAGCTGTACCAAATGGAAGACTTTTATAGGCAGAAGGAGGTAGGAACGGACAAGCATCCTAGACAAACATGAAGGTTGCTTATTTCGCGGTTACTTTCCTGTCTATCAGGCAGGTGACCTAACTAGTTCTGGTCAGATGATTCCTGATTGACTGCTTTCAGATCCCATTTCTGGGAGAGCTGAAAGTATAGTTAGGTCTCAGTTTGGTGACATGAGGCTCAGCATAAGCAACCCCATTTTGGGCCTGTTGCCTTGTTTTGAACAACCATAAATTTCGACTGCCTACTTGTTAATTTAGATACGGTTTTTTTAATAAAGATAGAATATGACAGGTTCTCTCATCTTTGTTTTAAGTCATGAGAAAGTTTAAGTATATTAAAGGCTGATGGGTTAATGTTCCAGCCATTTGGTTTTAAATTATGGAGAATTTGTACCTATAGACCCATGCTTTTGTGTACCTACTTAACTGGTGTTTTGCCTTCCAAGGAATACTAAGAGAACAGAAGAGTATATTGAAAATACCACTTTTTTATTCTGTGGAAATTTTCCAAGCCTATGAAATGAAGAGGTGAAAAGGTCTTTGTCTTTTATATGTTCAGCTTTCCCCATATGGTCCCCTTTTCACAGTCCAGTTATCTAAGTATGTGTTTTTGAGGATGGAGTCTTATATCTTCAGTTATCAACGTGTAGAATAATGACTAACAATGTGCCTACACTTAGCTGCCTAAATAGAAAAATAGCAACTTCAGAGTCTTGTGACCTGCGATTATTATTATTATTTTTTATCCTCACCCGAGGACATTTTTTTTTCTTTCATTTTTTTGTTCAGATATAGTGGGAGGGAGAAAAAGGAAGAGAGAGAGAGAGAGAAAAATATCGATGTGAAAGGGACACATTGAGTGGCTGCCACCCGCACGACCCAACCAGGACCGGGGACAAACGGCAACCGAGGTCCGAACCCGGGTCTCTCTGGACCGCAGGCCGACGCTCTAACCACTGAGAAGACCGGCCAGGGCTGATCTGCAATTTGATGGGATGCATGCTAAAAACAAGTAAATCGAAAGGGAGACGTGTGAATTGAGAATTTATTATCTTTTATCCCATTTTGGTTCCCACCGGCCCTCTGTTTACATCTAGAAAGCCGGTTCCCTGACACTGAGCGTTGCTATTGTGGTACATCTGTGGCCCCACTTGTTTTGGTAGACTTGACATCAGGACTGAAATCTGGACTCTCGGAGGCCAGAGGCCGTGTGTACTTAATTCTGTTCTTACTCCCCTGGCACACTTGGGGCTGCAGCATACTCATCACTGCTCATACCTCCTGCGCATGCGCTCTGCTCTGTCGGGCTGTTCTTACACCCCTTCACCAGCCCATGTTAAACAGTTTGAAGACTCAGCTGGCCCGATGCCTCCTCTAGAACACCGTCCCTGACCTGCCCGTCTGGGATAGACCTCGCCCCTGCTCCCATGGTGCCCTGGGTGTGGTCCAGCAGTACCTCCTACGCTATATCTCACTCTTTGATGGACCATTCAATAAACCGTGAGCTCCTTGAGGACAGAGACTGTCTTTCCCACTTTCATTTCCCCAGTGACTGACACATGATCATATCATCTGTTGCTGGGAGAGGAGTAAAAAAATGGTCCCAAATAGTTGACAGTAAACATATGTCTACCCTATAACCCAGATATCGTGTTCTGAGCAGAGAGTCTAGACAAATGAAGGCATGGACATTCATTTGGACAAGCATATTAATGGTATCCATAGTCAAAATAGCTATGAATGAGAAGTAATTCAAATGTGCAACAGTAGGCTGGATAGTGCAACATTTACATAATGAAAAACAACGATGGAAAAGAATGAATCATCACTACCCACAATAGTATGGGTGAGACTCATAAACACAAGGACCAGCGACAAAACTAGACACAAAAGAATAAATAGTGTATAATTGTTATATAAGCAAACATCAGTTGACTGTGAAGAAACAAGCAAAGCTAAGCTATGGTGATAAAGTCAGAATAGTGGTTGCCTCTGCAGGAGCGTGGAGGAGATGGCATTGCTGGAAGGGCGGTGAGGGAACCTTCTAGAAAAGTTTTATTGTGTTGGTTACATAGGTGTGTAACTGTGTAAAAATTCTTCATTACACATTAAGATGTGTGCACTTTACTGTTAGTATGTTATACCTCTATAAAAATGTTAAATAAAAAAAATAACTCCATCAATACCGTTTAATAAGAAAATGATTTGTAGGAGCTTTGGTCGTGGGACATTTTCATCCTCCTGTGCGCGTTTGTTTAGAAAGTTTTCATAATTCTCAGGTTGATTTTAGATATGTATACAATATACAGATGACATGTTGTAGAATTGTATACCTGAAACCTATGTAATTTTAAATAAATGAATTAAATAAATAATTTTGGAAACTTTGAATTATGCTCATAAAATATATTAATGACTTGTAATTTCTTGATATCTTTTTAGGTTTTATCTCAACTTTGTTACTGAAGAAGTAGAAAATCCTGAAAAGTAAGTAGCCGTATTTACTGTGAAATATTTATGAGGAATAAATGTAATGTTATATAGTTGAAAAAGTAGACCTCAAAAGAAATTTAGTGTGAGCTAATCAACTTTATACTTATTATCATTGTCATTCTCTTAGGCAGGTAAAATTTATTTAATTTTATCATAAATTAAATGTCAATAACTTTATAGTATCATCTACATTTAGTAGTAAATTATATAACCTGAAAGAATAAAAGAATAAAGTTATATTTTAGGTAATCTATTTATATATAAAAGTAAATATACAACTTAACATGGTCTTAGTTTCACACTTTGATAATATAAATATTTCAATATATACAAATACTAAAGAACAATGATGTATTAATTCAGTGGTTATTTTTTATTGCAAAAAAATTTTCTCACCTCAAAAATGTGAAAATAATAACAGCACCATTGGGTTGTGGAAATGAGTTGAAATGTATAAAATACCTTGATTAGTGACTATCAGTTTTTATTCTCTACCTAATTGTTTGGTTGTTATTACTATTATTATATCTTTATTTTACAAGAATGGTAAATGTTACTCATATAAGAGTGTTTTCTGTATTTCAATAGCCTAATCTATTCTCTTTCTTCAGTGTTTTTGATAGAAATATGAAAAATTATTTTTACACCATATTGAAACCAGTTTTCTAAACATTCAGTACTAAAACTGAATATGCATTTTATGATCTCTCCTATTCTGTGTACAGATTTCATTGGATCTTTATATTCAGAGAAAATAAACTTGCATTTTAAAGGAGAAACATAAGCTATAGGAGTTTTATAATTAAAGTAACTATCAAAACTAAGATTATTATTACTGGTTACATTGGGTGAAATGTTTTCATTTTCTGGAAGTCATAATTCTGCAAAATTCATTAAATATTCCTAGAATACTTTTAATTTGATATTATATTTTAAGGTCTTAAACGAAAGAACTTCTCAGGAAAGATTAAGTAAGAATTTCTGGATTTTTAGGTCAAGGTAATGAGTTACTGTTAATACTTAGGTTGAAGAAAGACATGTCTGATACCTTTTTTCTTTCATACTAAATACTCAGATATTTAGTTTTTACATGGAAGAGTTTGTGTAGAACTTAGCCAACACATTATTTTCTCAAAATCAGAATACGAGAAATCCACAAAATCCCCTTAATGGAAACTAATGATTAAATTTGTACTGTGTATTATTTATCAACCAAAGAAATTCAGGGTTTTGAGCAATTTATTCAATGTATTGATTTTAAAAATAACACTTCCCTGCAATGTTGACAATCAGTCCGGATTTTAAAAACATAAATCTTATTTTTTTAAACACAAAGAATGCTTTGGGAAATATTTATGGTTGACTCCAGAGAACAGATGGTAAAATTACGTGGACCTGGTCCAGATGTGTAATTTGTATTATTTTGTAGGTAGACACAGCTCCCTTTCGTTACAAGGGAGAATAATTATGATTCCATCTCCTTGGTGACGTGCCAGGATGAATGTGTTTCCCGATCAGTGGCGGGCGCAGTGTCCAGGTGTGCGGCAACTTCTGGCAGCTGGTGAAATGAATCATCCGCTGCAGGCACAACCCCTTTTAGTGTCCTCCTCCACCTAGGCAATAAATTTCTCCTAAAATTGTGATCGAATAGAAAAAGTGCTCATTAACTTCGATCAGCGAAAATGTGATTTCAAATACATAGAATGTAGAAGAAGTTTTCGTGATCACAATCGACAACCCTTTTATACAATTTAATTTTAGTGGAGATCTTTCAAACTGCCTAACTACTCTAAGGAGTAATTTCTGAGCTTCTGTTATGAGCGTGACGTTTGGAACAGCTCTGTAAGTGTTATAGCAAGTGAGAGAAACCGGGAGATGAATGGAATCAAAATAACGAGTGACTTCTTTCTGCTATTGTCTCACTTACTCTTTATAGCTTGTAAAGCACAAATCTGAATATTTGAAGCCAAATTCCTGCTGTAGGATTACATTTATAATGTTAAAAAATGTTCCCATGATCTTTCTTATAATGTTTTCTTCTCTAAGAGCCATCCTTGAAGAGGCATTTAACATTTTTATGTGAAAATACAGTAATATCTTTGACATTTTGTGATAATATAAAAATATTGCATGCAATAATTATCTATAGCATGGTGACTGGCTCCACAAATGAATATATTAAAATAAGAATAGTATTTTAAGGAGCACAGAAGTCCAAAGTTTGGATCATGTAGGTGACAGAGTCCAAGGAGTATCTGAATTTTAAAATGTTACTTACCCTCCCTCCAATGAAGTGTGTACTACTAATGATCACTAATGAGCACATTTGTTTTAAAAAATCAAAATGTTTTCATTTGCAAATCTAGTAGGTTTTGTCTGTGACATTCCTTTTGTGGTGGCTGTAATCTATCATTGTTCAAAAACTTACACAGTGCAAAGAACATATCATTGAGATGTATAATGTTTGTAATCTGGCTCTCAGTTTGATAAATCATGTCTTGTGTTGATGAGAGCCAAGAAATGAATTGCTTGACTTTGACCTTGGGAGTCTGAGATTAGTTGGTTTGCCTATTAGACTCGTTTCAGTGTTCTCCTCACTTCATTTATTCCTTCTGTTCTGAAGAGGTAGAAACAGGAGACTTGGAGCAAGTCAGTAAAGCTTGATATCATCAGTCATTTTTGAAGAGCAGGCTATCAACATGCTCTGAATAATCAACTTTAATAGAAAGTTTAAATAATCAGTGTCATGTTTAATTAATACTCTGCCTGCTGCCAATTTATATTAATTGATGCCTGAAAGTCATCACACCTTATATCAATGATAACTTAAAAGAAGAGAAACTTGAGTTGGGAAAAATGCCCAAAGACCTTCAAGGCAGTGTGATGGAGCAGGCTGGTTCATAAATGGTCCACAATCATGCTCTTTTCATTCGGTCCAGATGCTGCGTACATTCTTAGTACATGTGCTTTGATCCTCATTGACGTGTATTAAGCTAGAGTAAAGGTATTTATTAAAAATGTTATATTTTTATAAGTCCTATTGCTTATAGGACATATCAATCTATTACCTGGTGAAAGTAATAATCCTTATTTTATTTTTTCTAACACCATTTATCACCTCTCTGCCCTCTTCCACCTCTATCCCCCCTCCCAACAATCACCACTGTGTCCATGAGTTCTCTCTTTTTAAAGATGTTTTGCTCATACCCTCTCCAGAGCTGTTTTTATTAATGACAGTAAGGTGTTCGAATTATATTAATATGTGACAATGAATCTCTTCAATTGTTGAAATTATTGATACCTAAATTAAATTCATTTTGTTTGGTGCATTGTTTTCTAGAAACATATAAAAAGTTTTGCAAATCCATATTTAATATGTTTCACAATAGGAGTGTAATTAAACTGGTTGAACACTGAAGCAGGCAAAAGGTCAGTATTTGACCAGATGTCACAGAAAATAGATGATTCTATATTCAGTGAACAAGGTCATCAAGTTACTTGTCCTTGCCTTTGCTCAGTCTAAAAATTTCCCACTAATGGAACATGTGGTTGATGTACCCTGGGATCAAAATTCTTGCATTTCTCAGCTTCACATATGCATAAAAAATACATTTGGCTCAAACAGTTTGTTCATGTAAGGCTAACGTGTCAAATAAGTGGTGCAGAAATTACAGGACTGTATTATAATATTCTATCAGGCAGTAATCAAAGAAGACAGATATTAATCCTTCAAATGCTTTGTAGAAGCCATTTAGATATACATATATATTTTTTTAATTTTTAGGATTTTAACCCCATGTTGAGACAAAAATTTGAAAGTCAATGCTTTGAACTGTTCTACATCCTTTCATGTTAGTTGCTTCTGAATTTGAATTTGAATATTATTGAAGTTTATATTCTGAGTGTAGACTCATAAACTCATTCTTTAGGAGCAATAAAAGTGAGTGATTTAATTTTACTGTATGTTTCTGTTCCCTTTAATTATCTAGAAAATATTCAAAAATTTTCAGAATTAGAGGGAACCTTAAAGACTATCTAACCTAGCTCTTCACCACATGCATGGATCTCCTCTATAATACCTTTAAGCAGGTATAATTCATGTACACTAAAATGAGAAGCTGACTGTAACTTCCTTGAACTGGGTTGTCAGTATGTTTAATTGAATGTGTTGATGAGCAACCTGCTCATTTCTATGACCATTTCATGCTTTGATAAATTGTGGCTTGGGTGGCATGAGTAATTAAGGGAGAAATTAAGTGACACCCACCAGAGATGACGGTGTCAGAATCCTCTTATCTGGAAAGAAATACCTTCTACAATCAGAAGCAATGTCAGCCATTAGTTTGTCTTCTGCTTTTGAGTTTACACTTTAGTAACTCCTCACATTCATATTCTCATTTGTGCAAATCACCTGTCCGTCTCCATGCCTGGATTTCAAAGTTAATGACTATACCCAATAGGTGGCTCATACGTAAATTTGATATTCTGAATTATACTTGGTGAAAAACTTCTTAGACCACTAATCTGTGGTCTGTGGCCTGCTGTGTGGCAGTCAGTAAGATCCTGTGTTGTTTGAAGAATCTCACAAAAATAGAATAATAGCCCACGTTGTTTGTTATAGGCAGAGACAACATGCATCCAGGCCATTATACTTCTACTTGCCGTGCACTGAAGTAATTTTGATAGTTTTGTTCTCATCATATTCGAACATTGACTTGGCTTATCAATCTGCTCAGGAAAATGAGCAACTTTTGAATTTGTATAGGTGCACGCTAAAACTGTATTACCAGTGTAAACATCTAAAGTGAACCAAGTGAAGTTGAGACTTTCCAGTAGAGAAGGATTTCCTTCACTTTTATGAACTATAAAAATATTTACTTTCCGAGTCTTTAGTGTGGTTCAAGAAATCAAAATTGGAATCCTGTCTCCTTTTAACTAGCTATTTGACCTTGGATAGACCTCTAAATTGCTTCTGAATCTTTGTTTACCACTTT